AATAATAATAATAATAATAATAATAATAATAATAATGAAGATCATTTCTATAGCACCCACTCCCGTGTAAACACAGCTCTAGGTGCTTTACATAAATGCACTTACGAACAATTCACGCACGCTACACACACACGCACATACTCACTCAAACACACACGCAAACACACACCTAATGGGTGTCAACACATCTCAAAACGGCAAAAAGTGTCATTTAGAGGTTTGTAATTCTAAGGCAGCGAGATATTATTAAAATGTACTGTCAAATGCAAGTAGTACTTCCATCACACTTAGAAATCCGTGTTGCCATACTACGTTTCACCTATCACGATTTCCCAAAATTGCCCTTTCTCGAATCTTACTAAAGTTTAGCCATTTCATAAGTTGTCTTTTTTAAAGTCATCCTTTAAACACTAACACCAAAAAAAAGTTTGGTGACTTTTCAGATTTGAATTAGAGATAGATATAGGCCCATAATTACAGCCTATTAATTTGTACAACGGCTGACCAAGTCAAAAAAAGCAGCAGGGCCTATTATTGGGGAAGTAATTCTATCCTAAAAATAGGCGTTGTCGTTGACGGTTTTCCTGAGTGAGTTCCCTTTGAAAATGACCACAACAAACAAAACTCCCACACCCCGCCCACCTCGCTCGTCTAATACAAATCAGGGGCCCTGATTCAGTCAGGGCTGACCTTTTGCCGTTTTTTTTTTCCTTGTAAAATTTGGTCATCGGCGCAACGCAAGTTATCATGAATGTCACCGTGGTGCACCGGTTCCCAGCGTCGGGTCACTGTCATGAACCCGTTACGGTTATTTCATTTAGGTCACAGAATGCCGCACCAGTCTTCCTGCGCTCGATAGGCCTAGATTCTAAGTGCTGTGGAGAAGTCATGGTCGGGCATCGCACTTCATTCAACAGAGAGGTAGGCTGAACAGGATTGCACAAGAGGCAGAAATTCTGTTTTGTTGTTACACGCTCTGGTCCTCCCTTGCACTTCTCGATAAATTTACGAGTTTGGTTGTGATCTAATAGAATATAATCAAGCCGAAGCCCATGCATGAACTGTTGTGCTAAAACGGAGGAGATGGTGTTGGAAATGTACGTAGAATCTAGACTAGTCTAGTATTATTAAATCTAATCTATATAGATTAGATCTAGATATATCTAGATTTAGATATTAGAGATCTAGATCTAGATCTAGGTCTAGATCTAGAGATCAGGTGAACGAACATGACGAACGTTTTATATTATTCTAGATCTAGATCTAGATCTATATTAGATTAGATATCTCTATCTAGATTCTAGATTAGATCTAGATCTAGATCCAGCTATCTACAGTCTAGAGGATCTAGATCTAACTCTCGCGTTTATTCTAATCTTAAAATCAGCAGTCATTAAACCTACCCATGCAGATAGAGTTAACTGACTTGATTCTGCATTATAAAATTAGGTTGTTTAAAACATTTTTAATGGTTTTTTTCTCTTATCTTTTAACTGCTTGCCTGCTTTGCAATTAACTGTGTGCTCGTAAATCATCATAAGCTTATATTATTTCATAATTTTCTATCAAGTTGTTATAATTATGCTGAAAATGCCAATTTAAAGGGAGAAATTCCATAACGAGCGACCACTATGAAATAATAATATTAATGATATAATAAATAATAAAG